GATACCCCATGGATGATATCGCGGAGAACACTAACTGCGAGCTACACTTCAAAATTAAGAACATATCCTTGAAGGTGGCGGACGGCGTTGCTTATACAAATTCCCCCGATGCAACCCGATTCCAGCAGGCTATGCTCGTGTCGTGGTTGATGAGGTGGTGGACCAATATTCGGGGCTAGAGCTTGACATTCCTGGAGGTGACGAGGAGCACACACTCGGAGATGCCAAACATCGTATCATCCTATGGAGAAAGGATTGCATCATCTTTCGAAGGCCACCGACACCGCGTCACCCGACTCCTCGTCGAAGTCCGCCACCGAGTCAGCAGACTCCCGCTCCTCCAAGTCCACCAACGCGTCAGACGTCCACTCCTCCTCCAAGTCCGGCACAACCTCAGGCCACTCCTCCTCCAAGTCCGGCACAACTTCAGGCCACTCCTTCTCGTCCAACTCAGCCCCGTCAGCCGTCTCCGCCGCCTCAGCAATCGCAGAAGAGACACCCCGCAGCTATGGTGCGTAGCGGTACAAGTCGAGGTCATAGTACAGGAAGTACAGGCGGAGGCAAGCGATATAAATATGGTCCAAACCTCACTACTCCTCTTCCTGAGAGGGCTTACGACAGGACCGAGGAGCAAACCAATGCCATAGTGCGGGCAGAAGTCGACGCCCATTTTGGACCGAAACCGCCACCGCCGCCAAGGGAGAAAGTGCCTGTGGAAGTAGTTGACCACTTCATTCGTATGGCTCAACCACCAGCTCCTAAGCCTGCTGACACAGACTATGAGCGCCACATCAGGAAGTTACATCGACAACGTCTACAGAAGGAGGCGAGCTCGAGCTCGAGCAAACAACAAGCAGCTGTCAAAAAATGCGGGAAAACCGTTGCCCAGCTGGGAGAACAGGCGGCGCAATCGATCCCCCCGCTTGTTGTGCCGCCAACAACACGTGACAGTATGCGCGCCCAATATTATTGTGGGCAAACAGTTTAGTTCCTGAGGTGGGCGATGTGGTAATAACCCAGGAGCATATAATGCAGGCTGAAACTCTCAACATCACTGTTGGACAACTCCTCGAGATCGAGGACATGCCTGTTCTTATAGAGGAGGAAATAAAACAGAAATATGCCCGGGGCCAACCTTTGGTCAAGCCAGAAGAGGTCAAGAAGCTCCCAACGAGAATGTATGAATTGCATCAATGGTACATGGACATTACCAAGAGATCCGATCGAGAGTCCCTCATGGTGCAAGTCAAGAAGGATCATTACTACCATCAGAAACCTGTGACCGTTGAGTATTCTAAACTATTTCAGTTATACAATCAAGACGCACTCGACAAATCTATTGTCAGTTGCTATTGTCTGTAAGTGATTTCTTTCTGTAATTTAAGTCTCAAGCTAGCTGTAGTGATCCTTTTGATCAATCATTACCTGTAATTATCCTCACTATATTCTTTTCTGTGGTATTATGCAGGATGAAGATGTATGAAATGTGAAAAGGTGGACGCTATGGCATTGGGTTCATTGACCCAAACACCATTAATGAAAACACATGGAAAATAAACAAGCATCATGAAAAGCAGGTAGAGGACAGCATGCTAGAGTTCTTGAAGCGCCTCAAATACAATGAAGATATACTACTTCCTTACAACTTCCAGTGAGTCACACTTTCTTGTACTACAAATTCTCTGTTTTTGCCTACTAGCTAGCTACATGTTTTTGCTTAATTAAGACATGCAAACGTGTGTGCATGCAGATTTCACTGGATCTTGTGTATCATTAAAGTTGACGTCGGAACAGTTGAAATACTAGACTCACTACTCAAAGCAAATAGTGACTATAACATCTTGTTTGGGATAGTCAACAGGTAATTTCAATCATTATTAACTATATATCTCGACCTATTTAGTTCGTCATTTCATGATATGAACTATTTAATAACCCCTTTATTCATTTTCTTTGTCGGTGGGCAGGGCTTGAGCAAGGTTCATCAGCGTCACGGAAGGCGAATGGAAACGACAACTGAAATGGTTTCGACCCAAGGTAAGTAATTAAGTAGTACTAGCTAGCTAGCTAGCTGCCATCTCTTTAATTATCATGCTTGATTAATTATTATCTGATCAAATTAAATTCCATTCTCGTAATAAAGGACCTGAAGCAGGCGCAGGGGACTGATCTGTGTGCATTCTGCGTTTGCGAGAACGTTCGCACGATGGCGTCCGAAAAGAGCAGATCTCAAAGACAGGAATGTGTACGCTTGTCAGAACACTATTCACAATTTTTACACCATTATCGATATCTAGTCACACAACTAATACACATGCATATTGATCTCCTTCTTAACAGTTCAAAGAGGTGCGGGACAAGCTCCTAGAAACGGAGCGCGTAGAAGCACTTCAAGAGGAAATAGCGGGATTTTTGCTCGATCAGGTCATAAATCCGAAGGGAGAATACTATTACCTGCTACCGCCCCCATCGACCAGGTCATGAACCATTTCCAATTTTCATCGTGCTCCGAAGGCACCAATTAGACCAATGCCACTGGCTCCGAAGGCAACATGCATATGTAGGAAAAATTGTATATAGCTATACATGTGTGTATGTGTGAATTAATATGGTGGTTTGTGAGACATTGATGATATATATATATATATATGATTGGTTCTACTAGAAATTTTATTTATATATATATCGTACAGTATATATCGTACGAAACGAAGAAAGCGTATATATCGTACAGTATCAAGGAAGGAGCAGCAGCATAGGATACTGTAGCGGGAATTGATTCAACGCACGAGCGTAAAATCAGACTGTTATAGTTGATCGGGTATTTAAAAAACAGTCGTGGGTTGTTTGAGATTTATTAACGAATCTGCTTAAACATATTTCCGCTAGTCTTTTTTAAAAAAAGGGTTTTTCGCTATATACAATTCTCTGTTTTTGCTAGTCTTTCTTGTACTACAAATTCTCTGTTTTTGCCTACTAGCTAGCTACATGTTTTTGCTTAATTAAGACATGCAAACGTGTGTGCATGCAGATTTCACTGGATCTTGTGTATCATTAAAGTTGACGCCGGAACAGTTGAAATACTAGACTCACTACTCAAAGCAAATAGTGACTATAACATCTTGTTTGGGATAGTCAACAGGTAATTTCAATCATTATTAACTATATATCTCGGCCTATTTAGTTCGTCATTTCATGATATGAACTATTTAATAACCCCTTTATTCATTTTCTTTGTCGGCGGGCAGGGCTTGAGCAAGGTTCATCAGCGTCACAGAAGGCGAATGGAAACGACAACTGAAATGGTTTCAACCCAAGGTAAGTAATTAAGTAGTACTAGCTAGCTAGCTAGCTACCATCTCTTTAATTATCATGCTTGATTAATTATTATCTGATCAAATTAAATTTCATTCTCGTAATAAAGGACCTGAAGCAGGCGCAGGGGACTGATCTGTGTGCATTCTGCGTTTGCGAGAACGTTCGCACGATGGCGTCCGAAAGGAGCAGATCTCAAAGACAGGAATGTGTACGCTTGTCAGAACACTATTCACAATTTTTACACCATCATCGATATCTAGTCACACAACTAATACACATGCATATTGATCTCCTTCTTAACAGTTCAAAGAGGTGCGGGACAAGCTCCTAGAAACGGAGCGCGTAGAAGCACTTCAAGAGGAAATAGCGGGATTTTTGCTCGATCAGGTCATAAATCCGAAGGGAGAATACTATTACCCGCTACCGCCCCCATCGACCAGGTCATGAACCATTTCCAATTTTCATCGTGCTCCGAAAGCACCAATTAGGCTAATGCCACTGACTCCGAAGGCAACATGCATATGTAGGAGAAATTGTATATAGCTATACATGTGTGTATGTGTGAATTAATATGGTGGTTTGTGAGACATTGATGATATATATATATATATATGATTGTTCTACTAGAAATTTTATTTATATATATATCGTACAGTATATATCGTACGAAACGAAGAAAGCGTATATATCATACAGTAGTTGATCGGGTATTTAAAAAACAGTCGTGGGTTGTTTTGAGATTTATTAACGAATCCGCTTAAACATATTTCCGCTAGTCTTTTTTAAAAAAAAAAGGGTTTTTCGCCGGTCTGTTAGTCTCAACAGATAGTGCTACATCCTAGCGGGAGTAGTGTTTGTTTTCTCGGATTTGGTGGGTGGCCGACGGAGCGAAAACGAACAAAGAAAGCGTATCGTATCTTGAAGGAGCAGAGCAGCATAGGATACCGTAGCGCGAATTGGTTCAACGCACCCGCCTGCCCTGCTGCTGGGGATTGTTCGCCTCGGATTCCCGTTCCCCGTTCAGAATTCATTCAAACGAGACGACCAGCAAAGCAACGTGCGTGCGCGACCGAGTGATGGGGACGGAAGAGCAGACCATTGGTATGACTGTGATCTGACTCCCACTCTGATCGGATGCGCCCAACCATGCGGCAGGCATGGGAAGAGGGGATGGATGGGTGGGCTCTGTCACCACGTCTGTCTTTCACTCACTCACGTCCTTCCGTCGCGGCGTGGTGCGGCGGGGGTTGCCGCTCGGGCTCGCCACCACGTGCCTCCTCCCCAGAGCCCCCGCACTCCTGCTCCGACAAGCACTTGGCTTCCTGCCGCAGCACACCGCTGTGCCGCCGTCGCCGACCTCCCCTCGGCCGCAGCACACCGTCGTGCCGCCGTCGCCCAAGGCCATTCCTCTAAACCCTCTGATCTCATGTTCGCCGGCAACAGCCCTGCACCCCGTCTCTGACGAGGAAGAAACTCACGTCGTTCCGTCGCGGCCGACGTCAGTACAAAAAATTAGGCAGCTGATGTCTAACAAAGGCTGGAAAATAAATTATTTCAAAAAAGAAAAAGGAAAAAAGGACCTGCCATCTTTCTCTTTGTTCTGCCACATGTACATACACTCACCCAATGGAAGCAGCTCCATCCCTCCCTTAAGTCTACAGAGAAGAAGATGCAGGGCCTCTTCACTGCGTCGGCGGCGGCGTCCTGGAGGAGGAGCAGGCGGCGGCGACGTGCCTGAGCACCGCCTTGCCGGACTCCCGCGCGAAGTGCCTCTGCCGGAGGCGCACGTAGGGGTAGCACAGCGCCGACAGCGGGTGCGCCGGCTTGGAGAAGGACACCACCTCGTACCACACCCGCTCCTCCGCGTCCACCTCCACCGAGAACCGCTCCTCCCCGGCCTGCATCCACGACCATGTCACCCAAACCATCATCACCAATCTGCTGCGACTTGATCCCCCCAACCCACACACACTCAATCACGCCGGAAACAGAATGTAGTACTAGTTACCAGCAGATGGCCCTGCAGGGTGCCGCTGCCGAACGCGAACACGCCGCCTTTCCCGCGCTTGCCGCCATTGTACTTGTCGTCGGTGACGTAGGCGATCTGCAGCGGGAACATCACCCAGGGGACCACCTCCTTGTAGCAGATGCAGAACCTCGCGCCGATCTTCACTGGCGTGCCCGGCTCCGCCTCCGCCCACCCCAGCGCCAGATGCCTGACCAACAACAACCAGCAGCTTTATATTAGCATTGCTGCAGACATATACTACAACAGTGGAGCGAGTTTAAACAGGCCAGGTTAAGAATCAATGTGGCTTACTTCCAGGAGAGGAGGGCCGACTTGGCGTGGCGGAAGGTGTCGGCGCCGGATCCGACGAGGACGCGCGAGCGGTTCACGGAGAAGCCGCGGTCCGCCAGCACCCTGTCGGAGTCTTCAGCGGTTGTTAATGCGGCTGGTGATTTCGGGTGGGTGGCGCCATGGAGGTCCGTGTCGTAGTTGAAGCCGCCGGCAGCCGCCAGGCACGACTTCTGCTGTTCCGGTGTGGGGCGGCTCAGGCTCAAGAAGAGGCCTCCCCATGCCATGGTTTCTACAGAGAGTGGTGTGAGGCTGTGAGGGCAATCAATCCAGAGGGTTCAGTTCAGTTGCCGTGGATCAGCTCCACTGCGGATTCGGTTAATCCCCGCTAGGAGGGATTTTATCCACGTAAACAAGCTCACATACATACTTCACTTATGTACTGAAGCACAACCAACTAATACTTTTTTCGAGTTTTTAGAACACCATCAAACACAGCTGTTCACAATTCAGAAACAATAAGATCCAAATCAAACACAGCTGTTCATAATTCTGAATTTTCTTCTCAAATAAAACACACTGCAACATGCAATTGCAGTGCATTATTCAGAGTTACCACCTACACATACAACAATAGTCATAGGATTATGGTTTACTGATACCAAATTGCAATAATTGATACTCTGGATATGTAAATCCTGCATATCTTCATGTAGAGCTGTGTGGTTAATTCTATGCATATGGAAACTCAACACAAAATGGCGACTCTGCTTCTGTATACTGATCGCACCCAAGCCCAGGTGGGCAAGCTTAATCACCAAGCAGAGCTCATAATATAACTCTTGGAGCCAAATAAACTTAAAAAATAGCTGGAATGATGGTTGTGAATTGGGTTTACGGGCAAGTCATAAGATGCTCATGATTGACTTCTCATACGGGACTACAATAACATGCTAGACAGAATTAGTAGATTTTGTTTCTCTTCATTTTAGGTGCCAGTAAAGAGATGGATAATCCCGCTCCCTTAATCTGGACTATAACAAAAAATCCAACTAGACCTGCAATGGGGAAAAACAATCGCAGGGGCATATGAATTCTAGACGATGCATTTTATAATCACTAACAAAGTTGCGTCCATTCAAAATGTCACTAATTGTAAGTATTAGATAATGTTTGGCAGCACTTTTCAGGGAAGAAAAGAAAATATCCTGAGCCGACACTCAAGTAAGCTAGCCAGGTTCTGAGCCTAGTGCTGAAGTGATTGGTACTATGCATTACAGGCAGGATGATACGAGCAGGAGGAAATTGAGTATCCTGAACTGAACTCTACCCTGAACAGCCCCACGATAGATCAAGATCTTCATTTTACCATCTAAATAAATCCCTGAACACACAAAAGCTTCAAGGACTGACTGAGAGCACCCAGTTAGCTACTACAGTACAACCAAGCTCTGTTATGCTACATGATGGATGAGAAGAAAGCATGCGAGACTGGGCATCCCCATTGCCAGTCTGCTCCACATTGGTCAGCCCAAATACGCTCCAGCCAATACTAAATAGAGCGAAGGTTCAAGCCGCAGCTAATCTGATCCGCCCAACGATTTAGTTTCTCATCCCCTTTTTCGAATACAGTAGGAATTTGCCATGTTGTCTGGATAAACAAAGTCGAGCAGCAACTCTCCTGACTGAACACAGGAGGAGTTTTGGTGCAGTTATCTATTGCGAGACGGAGTGGAAAAACTGCAGGGTTAACTGAGTCGCTGTTCCTCTGGTGGATCCTAAAATTGTTGGAGATTCCTGGCATCGGACGATGTGGAGATGGGAGCAGCGGAGGGCGGAGGAGTTGAGGGGGGCTGGGCTGGAGAGGACATACATACCTGGGAGCTCAAGGGAACGGAAGGCCGGTACGGCGGGCGGCGGCCACCGGCCGACGAGTGCTGCGGCGGTTGCGGCGACCGGCCGGTAAGAGGAACCGTGGCGAGGTCTCACAGCCTCTCAGCAGCAGCCCTGCACTGGACGAAGGGGGGATACACTCCTCGATCTGAGGCCGGCCGTGAGAGTTGGCGTAGGCCCAGCTGCCGGCCCAGGTTCATTCCAGTTGGACCAACCCAACACATTTCTATGACTCCCAATTTTCAAGAATAACCAACTTTTGCTTCTTTTTTTTGAGAACTGCATCCTTTTATTCAGAGTTTAAAACATTCATAGGAATACAGGTAATATCGGGCAAATTAGAGAGCCACACATGGCGCCTGAAAAATAGTGAGGAAGCTGCCTTAGCTAAATTATGGGCATCTGTGTTGAACTCCCGCTTCTCATGGATAAGCTTGAAAGCTTGAAAAAACTCGCGCCCTTGGTGTATTTCCAACTTTTGCTGTTCTTCTAAAAAAAACCAACTTTTGCTGCTTCCATAAAACGAACAACTTTTGTTGCAAAACTTTATTGGTCGCGATTTTAGTTTCGATTTTGAGGTGCGTGGATGAACTATGAAGCACATAACCCTCCTGGTAATTACCGCCCGAGCCCAGGCTCAGTTTGTACACTGTGAACAATAAATTCAAAAGAAATAGTAATAAAATTCAGATTTTTTTCCGCATCAAAGATGCTTAATGCGCTAGGCGCGTACACATTTTCAGAGCAAAATGACTTTTGAGGAGCTCTCGGTGAAAAAAAGAGAGGCTCTGGATGGTGCTATTTTTCAAGTTTCTATGAGACCTTGTTTTTCTTGAGCTCCTCGAATACCATTTCACCACGAAATTTTGTAGGCAATTGGTGCATTCGAACATCTTTGATGTAAAAAAGGTTCAGATTTTTCAAACTTGCTTATTATTTTATTTGAATTTATAGTTTACTTCCAAGGGCAGATGCGGCACCGAATCGCCGCAGTCATAAGCTTGCCAAGTTTTGTCTCGTTGATTAGGGTTGTTATCTTTTTTTGTAGGTAGCTTAACAAGCTGACCGCTTCATGACTCCTATGACCATGTCTTCTAATTAAAGCTTGATGAATTGCTAAAAAAGAACCCAACTTTCGTTGCAACTTGAGTGGATGACTTCCCTTATACGAAAACATCCCTCTCGGATCTTTGAGGTGCGGTGGATCTTCGACGATCATGTTGTGCATGATCACACTACATGTCATCACCTCTCACAAGGTCTTCGAATCTCATTGTTTAGCAGGTCCATGAACAACTGCAAAACGGGCCTGTAGAACTTCAAATGCCCTCTCGACATCCTTTCCAGCTGCTTTCTTGTCTTTCGGCAAAGTGAGCCTTTTTTTCTGGCCAACTGGATAGATACCGTCAACAAGATAGTAACCCATATTGTACTCATGTCCATTGGCAGTATAGTGTCAAGAAGGAACTTCTCCTTCAGTCAGCCTTCAAAACAACGGCGATCGCTGCAGTACATTGATGTCATTGTGAGACCCGGACATGCCAAATCAAAAGATCCTGTGATGCAACTACTTCAAGAATGATGGTGGGCTTCTTAACATGACCTTGATATTTCCTTTGTAAAGCCTCCAAGAAGTTCTTCCATTTCCAATGCATGTAGTCAAGGGATCCAAGAAAACCTGGTCACCCTCTTGCTTTTGAGATTGCCAAGAGCCTCTCGGTGTCTGCCACAGTTGGTTCTCTCTGGTACTGAGGTCCGAACACGTTGACCGCGACAGTTGCAAACCTGACCATGGCATCTCCGCATGTGCTCTCAGACATCCGTAGGTACTCGTCCCACGGAGTGCGGTCGTGCACTTCTGGTAACCAGAGAAGCAAATCGTTCCCATGGCGTCATCGCTGGGCATGGTGAGTATAGTAGTAGCAGATGATACCTCGCGGTGCGGTCGGAGGACAGGGCTCGAATTGTGACGCCCCCGATTCAATCGTACACTAATCATACACGCAAACGTGTACGATCAAGATCAGGGACTCACGGGAAGATATCACAACACAACTCTACAAATAAAAATAAGTCATACAAGCATCATATTACAAGCCAGGGGCCTCGAGGGCTCGAATACAAGAGCTCGATCATAGACGAGTCAGCGGAAGCAACAATATCTGAGTACAGACATAAGTTAAACAAGTTTGCCTCAAGAAGGCTAGCACAAACTGGGATACAGATCGAAAGAGGCGCAGGCCTCCTGCCTGGGATCCTCCTAAACTACTCCTACTCATCGTCAGCGGGCTGCACGTAGTAGTAGGCACCTCCCGAGTAGTAGTAGTCGTCGTCGACGGTGGCGTCTGGCTCCTGGGCTCCAACTGTTGGGGATCGTAGCAGAAATTCAAAATTTTCTACGCATCACCAAGATCAATCTATGGAGTAATCTAGCAACGAGGGGAAGGAGAGTGCATCTACATACCCTTGTAGATCGCTAAGCGGAAGCGTTCAAGTGAACGGGGGTGATGGAGTCGTACTCGTCGTGATCCAAATCACCGATGATCCTAGTGCCGAACGGACGGCACCTCCGTGTTCAACACACATACAGCCCGGTGACGTCTCCTACGCCTTGATCCAGCAAGGGGAGAAGAAGAGGTTGGGGAAGACTCCATCCAGCAGCAGCACGACGGCGTGGTGGTGGTGGAGGAGCGCGGGACTCCAGCTGGGCTTCGCCAAGCACTACGAGAGACGAGGAGGGAGAGGGGTAGGGCTGCGCCAGCAGGGAGATTGAATCGCGCGTTGGGCTGCCCCTTTGCTCAAGTATATATAGGGGGAGGGGAGGGGCTGCGCCCCCACCTAGGGTTCCCTCCCTAGGGGTGGCGGCAGCCCCCAGATCCCATCTGGGAGGCGGCCAAGGGGGAGAGAGAGGGGAGCGCACCTAGGGTGGGCCTTAGGGCCCATCTGCGCCTAGGGTTTGCCCCCTCTCCTCTTGAGGACGCCTTGGGCCTTGGTGGGAGGCGCCCCAGCCCACATAGGGGCTGGTCCCTTCCCACTATTGGCCCATGTAGGCCTCCGGGGCTGGTGGCCCCTCCCGGTGGACCCCCGGACCCCTCCGGTGGTCCCGGTACACTACCGGTGATGCCCGGAACACTTCCGGTGGCCAGAACCATACTTCCTATATATCAATCTTTACCTCCGGACCACTCCGAAACTCCTCGTGACGTCCGGGATCTCATCCGGGACTCCGAACAACATTCGGTAACCGCATACATACTTTCCCTATAACCCTAGCATCATCGAACCTTAAGTGTGTAGACCCTACGGGTTCGGGAGTCATGCAGACATGGCCGAGACAACTCTCCGGTCAATAACCAACAACGGGATCTGGATACCCATGTTGGCTCCCACATGT